ATTGTCATTCAGGATTGTCTTTGTCTCTCCAGAACGATTTCTTGTTCATTGTGAGTCCATCTCTGAAGTTCTTCACAGGCTACATTGATGTATATTTTATGTTATTTTATTTATGCCTTTTCCCCACCCCCCTTTTTAGATCCCTGCTCCCTCTCCCTTTCCCTTCCCCTCTCCCAAGTTATTGACTGTCCCCAGAATTATAGCTAAAGTGAGCAGCCCTCCCCCAGCATCGCCATTCTGAGTTGTGCCAGTCTGGGTGTGCTCTGTTGTGCACTGTGACCCGCTGCTCAGTAGTCCTATTGCTTTTACTGTTTTATAGGTGTTCGTGCAGGGGAAGTGGGGAGGGGGCATAAACAAACACAAGGGTTATCAGCTCTTTATCATGAGATGACTTCTGTTCATTTGATTTGTTGCATTTTTTTAGACGATGTTTTCTCAGAGCGTTGTGTTAGATCACCCTCCATTCCCAGTAATGCCAAGAAGGAACCTCCAGAGCTTTTGTTGTTTTCAATTTTTTTGTCTTGCTTTATTTTCCTCAGGTTATTTTTTCCTGCTAAGAACTTTCTCTGTGAAATGCCTACACGAAAGACAACAGATGGCTCAAAAATTGGTTAATGGCTTCATGCCCTCTATTCTAGCTAGGGGAAAACTGGCCATTGAGCTGCGATGAATGGCCAGTTCTCCTTCTGCAAAAACTAACTTTAAGGACCCATCCTTCCTGCCATACACACACATACCCACACACACAATATTCCTGTCATGAACCACTGATTGCCATTTACAGAAGCAATGATCCTAAATATAAACGGCCATTACTGTACTCTCTGTCTGGTCTATTATGTTTTGTTTAAGCATCTCTAGCTCTGCCATGAGCCCTGAGTGACCAAACAGCACATTAGCTACCAATAATGACCTATTAGCTTAAGGATCTTTGCCTAAGTAATCAGAAGTATTTACCTGATGTCTAATGCATCCCAGCTGTGGAGGAGGTTGAAAATCGCCTTTCAGAAAAGATTGTATTGAAATTGATGTGACCTGAGAAGTCCAGCATGTGACCATGATTATACAACCAAATCGAGATTAGTGAGCAGTCTAGTCTAAATTGTAGCAATGGTTCAGCAAAAATGTCCCACAGTCAGTAGGCTGCATAATAATTAGCTAACTATTCTGTCTTTCTCTCTCTTTCTCACTCCATAAATGTGAGAGTGCATTTTCAAAGACACCTCCTACAATGGCACCTGCAAATTTTCACATTCAAGCACACTGTTTGCGGTGTGCAATTGCTGACATTTGGCCTTGCAAAACAGATCTTTGCATACACGCACAAATGACTTTTGCATGGGTAAATGTGAGAATTTAAATTGGATAGAAGAGTGTATTTTCACATTTTGCAGATGCAATTTTATAGGATCCTTTGAAAATGTCAGGTGAGGTGATCCAATCCCTTATTTGTATTGATTCTTAACTACCACCCAAGCAAAGCAACCCAACTAGGAACAAAATGCACGGGCACAGATTTTATTTTTAAACAAGAACCTGAGATGACCACTAGCAAATGTGATTTCAGCATCCCAACCTGTTCTCTTTCAGGAGTGGAAAAAGCATGGACATAAAACTGACATGTCGTGTTGGAAGGAGTAACTGTATTTTTCATTTAAAGCACAAAAATACTTTTGGCATTTTGTTGGTAGTCCAACAAGTATAAATAAGCATCAATGACAGACAAGCATTTTAGAAAGAAGCAGGGTCACCCCAAGATATGAGGGATACTGAGCAGGCAAAAGAAAAAAGGACATCTAAATAGGAAACAACACTATTTTGTATTGGAGAATATTTGTTTTTAATCTTCTTTTGTATCACTGCATTTTTTATGATTAACAACTTAGATGTGAATACAGAATATGTGGCAATTATTATTTGTCTTTGTTTAACAGGATGGGCATTTAGAGACACAAATTGGATTATTCCTCAAAAGGTTCCCATAGAGGATGAAATGAAATATCTCGCTTTTTCTGAATGGCTGGGAAGAGACAGGACAAAGAGAGAGAGAGAGAGAGAGAAAGGAAGAGAGAGAGGGAAAGAGAGAGAGAGAAAGATGAGAACCTACTTGTCAATATGATGGAAATTTCACTTATTCCTTTGCCTTTTTAATTGCTTAGGGGAGAAAAGTAACAAGCACATTAGTTAAGCCTGTTCATTTACTGTTTTGTGCCTCAGAGAGTGAGAATGAAACATCCATTATTTTTATGAGAAGATGCTTCCTAAATATTCAGCAGTAGAAAAAAGAACCACCACTACCATACCATTATTTGCATCATAAATCAAGACTCGCTTGATCTGACAAGGCCACTTGTTGGACTCACAGCTTCTTTCTTAAGTGGAAAGCCAGAATGAGATAGCTTTGCTAACAATAAATGATCTGCGTCAAAGCCAGGCAACAGGCAAAACAGATGCAGGTGCTTGTTTGGTTCTCAGTAATGGCATTCAAGAAAGCTCTTTCCCTCCATAAGTTGCAAAGTTGCTGCAAGAAATGAAGCACTAATACAAAGAAGAACCAGCACTGGGACCCACTTTTACTACCTGCTCTTGATTTTCCAACAGGGAGCAGGGTTGGGCTGTGTCTTGTGTGTTTGAAAACTCTGGAAACAGATTAGATCTGACCAAATAAGGGGTATTTTTTACTGAGTATGTTATAGAGGCTTTCATTTCCATGCCAGACAGGAGGAACCCCCATAACATTCCATGTGTGATGCAACAAGAGCGTTGTAACAAACCTAAATGTAAACAGGATTTCTCCGGCTGAAACTATAAAACCTATATTAAAAAAATCCCTCTTCCCTAAGTAAATGATGCTCGTTACCCCTTGACCTGGCAGATACTACAGCAAAGGATCTAAGTTCAAGACTTTCACCTCCCTACCCTCTCCAGATAAGATCAAACAAGAACCAACCTAGGTGCATCTTACAGTTGTAAATAGAAAATAATACATAGAAAAATATATTTGAAAATTGTTTCAGTTCTTGGATGGGCACCAGCCATCCAGTGCAATGTTATTGATAGTACACTGTGGTGCTTTGGGTTTCTGGTTTTGTTCTCTTTATGCTCTGTCATCTTCTCATTGCAGCTACATTTCAGGGAACATGTATATTTAGTAGCTATTGTAAGTTCTGCATGGCATCACCAAGCTTATTTTTCCTTGAGAAGAAAAGAAGAGTCCGTAAGAGTTTAAAGGCACTATGATGATGGGGATTTGTAGCAGAGAATTTAAAAAAAAAAAAAAAAAAAAAGGTTTTTAAAATTCTAGTTTGAAGCCAAATACTGATATTTTAGTGCTTTTGGGGTTTTAACAGTAAGAGCAAAAAAGAAAAAAAAGGGGATTTTTGGTAACCCAGCTGATCCGCTGATCCGCACTTGCCAGTTTTATTATTTTGTTTATATTGGACTGTTTGACCCTGTCAAACAAGTGTCGAAGTTGTGTGTATAAAACAAAAAAGTGTTTAAAAAGTGTTGTAAAGACACTGAGCCTTATGAAAATATTTATGGAGTTAAATAAAAAGAAGTGAAAAGGCATCTGAAGGCATTTTTAAATCATTTTCCTACTCAGAGTGGTCTTACTCTTTTTCCCAAGGACATGCAAGAATTGTCTGGATGGGGCGGCAGTATGTCAGGATAGCAGACAGTAAGTGATTCATACGGGACCAGAAAGGGGGCATATCCTGAAAAATATCCCTTCCTTCCCTGCCTGTGCCCTCCACCTGAACTGAGCTGAAACAACCGATTAATGGTTAGAGGTCCAACTCACATAAAATACTGGATTTCAAGTGCTGTCTGATGCTGCATTAGAGTTTGGGGGAAAGCTTCCTCCTGGTTTAAAAGGGGCATTCTCTGTTACCAAATTCTGCTTCACTTTACAACGTAAAAGGAAGGTGACAGAATTCCATAAGCAGATGTCAAATTGCTGAGATATTGCTGCCAACACAAGAAACATTACTGCACATATAGATAGGGTAAGAGCAGACAGTGATTTTCCAAGTAAGGAACCAGTGGCCACACGTGATTCATTGCAATAGTCTTGGTTTAAGAAGATGAACAGATTCTCAACTTGGTGTTCCCTTGAAGTGAAAGGACAAGGGGACATTCATGAAGAAAGGAGGGTGGTATTGCACCATCTGAATGTCACAGTGCCCACTTCAGAGTCTCATTAATGATTTCCGGGAGAGGACAATGGAGGAAAATAGTTTTGAGGTAGTACTAACATTAGTTTGGAATGAAAACAGCCATCAGTATTAAACCATGGTGTCCAGTGTCCACATCCCTTAGAAACCAAGGCAATTTCCATTCTTATTTCACTCTATCTGGAGTGCGCGGGCACACATACACACATGCCAAGCACCCAGACATAGCTGTAGTCTGCGTGCTTTTCTCAGCAACTGATTGCCACACTGCTAGCATGCTGAGTGAGTGGATATTTAACCCTTATCCATTAAGAAAAAATCAGCAATAGTAATAAAAAAAAAAAGCATCCCTGCAGTAAGAGTTAGAGAGAGACCACATCAGCATGGCAAACAGAGTTTGCTTCAGAGTTTTACCAAGCTAAGAAATGGAATCAGTGGCATCAAAGAACAATTTCCTGCCATTTCATCAGTGCATTGACACAGCTTCATGTTATTGCCAAACTTTTACTTTCAATGGAGAGACAGGCAAACACTGTTACAGTATCAAGTACAGTGACTTCATTTCTGCTATACCACATGGCCAATGTGGACTGATTATAGGGTTTTCATTTTTTGTTTTGACCGAAGGGATGTTGCTGAAATCGAGCTGCAGTTGCTGAAGACTGTAGCATTTTCAAGCAACTCTGTCAGGAAGTTTAGGTTTGAAATTTTGCCCTTCTCTTCCAAAAGGAGGTTTTAGTTTTTTAAAAAACAACTTATGAAAAAAGCTACACAGATATATTCTGTGTGTCAGGGGAAAAAAGTTTGTCAGAATAGCTACATTTCTCTGCTGTGCTTATAACCCAAACTGGAGAGGTATCTCAGCACGTGCCAACTGATAGGTGAATGTGATCAGTCATGTTTTGTGGTGTAAAATGAGTGAAATCCCAGCTTTTATCAGTTATTTCAGTTTCCACACACAAGGGTATTTTAGTAACAGCTCAGGCTGCCAGTTGTGTGTATGTGTGCCTGCCTGCTTTTTTAAATACTTTTTTATATTCTTAAACTGAGCCAATCATTAGCATCCTTTTTTTTCTATTTATCCAGTACAAGTTTTATTCATTTTTTGTTTCTTTGGTCTTCCTTCAACCAGCCAGCATTCAGACAGCTTCCATTTGATATAATCCATCCCAGATTCCACAGAGGACAAATTTTAAATTGATACACACCTTCTTATGTTGTCATTCATACTGATATACATTACCAGTCTCTTCATGATGCCACTGGAGAGACTTCTAATTGACATTAGCGTAAGAGACCTGCATCTGATCCTGGTACCTTAGGTAACATGGGGTGCAAAGCAGGGCAGAGTTTACCTTACTATCTTTAAGCCCGTCACTTGTCACCAAAGCATTTACACACACACTGAAGTAGTGTGCTAATCAGTCTAAGTTTGCAAAATCATAGATGTAAGGAAATGCCCTGAAAAATGAATTTACCTCTATTAATTATGCCTGTTTAGGTTGTTCATATTACATCTGCTAACCGAAGCATTTCCTTAGCTACATCTCTGTAAACCACTGTATCATGCAAAACACATGTGGAACGCAGCATACACCTGCAGGCTCACAGTCAGGTGGAAGGCACCAGCTCCAGCCCGAGAGCTTTTGAGCAAGGCAGTAGAGCCTTGAAACTCTGGGGTAAGATATATACAGCATGATAACTGACATGATACGAGTACACTGTACATCAGAATGCTTCATGTTCTACCAATGTGTACTTGCTTATGATATTGCATGCAAGCTCTTTTAGGAAGCAGTCTTTGAATCTGACTAATGAAGCTGGACTGTCTATCCAAGTACAGCCCAGTCACAAGAGTTCCCTATTCTTCTGTATTTGCTGCCTACAGCACCAGAATCAGCACCAGCCTCTACAGTCCCAGTTCAACATCCTCCAATGCAAAACAATGCATGTAAGTGCACCATCTCTGCAAGATTATTCAAGATTGACATTGAATGTATGCTGGTGGGGCACAAATGAAGTAATTCATAACTGACAGGGTATTACTAATCCCTGACCTATACATTGACCTTTGAGGATTCTGTACTAAGAGAGGTGACTAGGAGTGGACCCACAAATGTGACCTACCCAAAACGTGTAAGCCCAGTCTGTGCATACAAGAGTTTAACTACTAAGGGTATCTTTGCCTTTGCTACAGAAAAGTGCTTCAGGCTTTCTCAGGGCTAAATTCATCCTTATAAGTGTGCAGAGTTCCACATTTTGGAGCAGAAAGAGGTCCTTAGCATGCAATGACCCAAAAGCTGCTGAGGCCTTGAGTGAAGCAATTATTTGACAGGCACTATTGCTAATTTCGCTGCTTGGCCTAGTCAGTCAAGGGCTACTGCTCTGCACTGTTCTCACACTCTGAGAGCATTGCTAAGAATATTGCTCCATTTTCAGTTGCTTTCTATTCCCAAAATGATTGGATTCCCCCTTATACCACCAAACCTAGCAGATAAAATCTAGTTGCATGCAAGTCACTTAATCAATACGGATGTTTAGCTCTTCTTTCAATATTAGTTACAACAGCCTCAGCTATAAAAAGCTTTAAGCCACAATCATGCTGTTTGTTTTAATTTTTCATAAAGGAGAATATATAAAAAAATTAAACTCTTGCAGGAGCGATTACTTCATAAAGAAAACATAAGAGTCCTGAAGAGGTGCTTCGAACATGGACATCTGGTTCTGAAGTAGACATCACTCCCTGCCACCCCACCCCCTGCCCTCCTGCCAGAGAAGAAAGTTGTTAAAAGGATTTTGGGAAAAGAGAAAAAAAGGGATACATGTGGCTCTAATTCTTATTCTGTCTGTGGTCCCAATTGTTGTAGTGTACTAGTGCCTCACAATTTTCTATTCATTATCCTCACAACCCCTGTGAGGCAGGGATTCTCTGTTCTCTCTGTTTTACAGAATGGGAACTAAGGGGCAGATTTTCAAAGGCATTTAGGCACCTGGCAAGACTTTTGGAAGAGTCTAGGTGCCTAGTTCCCATTTAACTCGATGGGAGTTGGATTTCGATGGAAATTAATTGCCTTTGAGAATCTGCATTCAAGTGGCTTGACCAAGGTCACACAGAAGGTCCATAGAAGAGCAAGGAATTGAGTGCTCCACCCTGGTTTTCTAAGTTGCAAATTAACATCCTAATTATTCTGTTATCCTTGCTCCATTACTGTTAGGACAATCACTTCTATAATGGATTTTATGGATACATCTTGGCTTTATTTACCTTTATAACAGTTGAGAACCATTTCTTTGGATATGATTTGTCAAGTTATGCAGTAGAACATGTACTCATATGGTGTTGTGTATAAACAAACCTGATCTGCACAGCATTGAGGTTCATGGGAGCTTTTCCATTGGTTTCAAAGGGAGAGGGATTGTGCCTTTAGCAAAATCTGCCCTAAACAGTCATGCATAAAGGTCTAGGGAAAAAATGTCTTATGGTAGCAGAATGGGAACCCCTAACTCACGTAGAATGGGACAGAAGAATGTTTTGCGATGAGTTGTCTCATTTTAATCAATGGGACTTTACTAAACTAGGTAGTCCATACAACTAGAGCATGCAGTGACAGAATCAAGCCCATGGTGAAGATTGGGCCAGATTCTTCTTTCAGGTGCAACTTGTATAAACTGGAGAAACTCCCTTGACTACACCAGCGTTACTCCAGATTTATACCAGATATAACTGAACACAGAATTTGACTCGTGCTTTAACTAATGCTTGGAACAACAACATTGGTACAGTGACCTGGTAAATACTCGAAGGTACTTTGATGTGGTCATTTTAAGCCTAGGACTTTTCTACTGAAGATACCATTATTGGTGCAGGGTGGATTGGTTGATGCTACACTGTGTTTTCTGTAGATAGTATTTTCCTTAACTTCAACGGGAGTGGTAGTCCATTACAGAATTTGCCATTTCCGTCTGAATGTTGGATTTCTCCAAACAGATGGTAGGGTTCCCTTATGTATTGCGATGGAAGAAAAAGTTTAGCTTTCCCTTTCTCATGGCAGATTTCAAACAGAGAAGGTTGAAAATGAGATGGGTTTATCTGTTCTACTTCAACTGATCCTGCTTATTGCGTCTGCTACGAGGTGTTTAATTCTGGAGTTGATTTAATCAGGAATGGTGCTTGACACTGGAAAAACAGAGTAGCCTAGCAAAATATGAGAAATCCAGAGATCATATGAACAAGTATCGTACCTGGAGAGACAGAATTTAGTTTGAAACAGGACTGTACAAATAAGAGAATTAAAAGAAAACAGTGCCAAATTAACTCCCTGATGGAGCCCTGGCAAGCTGATTTGGAAAGACTTTTTATCTCCCCAGACTCCATGGACTAAAAGAAACATTCCCCCACAGGATTCATCAGACAAGCTCTATTCATCCCACAATAGGAAGTTTTTGAGAGTTGTGGAGTTTCTTTGGACACGCGGTCTGAGGATTCTAAGGATAGAAGAACATCTTCAACAAATTACCTCAAAAAAAGTCATGATCATTACCTGGGTGAATATACACTGAAAATATTCAAATTCTTGGGAACATGATCAACAAGGAAATTATTTCTGCTTTGAAACCTGCCAAGAGGTATCCTATTACACTTGACTGCATCCGAGCCATTAGTGAACAAGAGCAAATGCCACTGATTGTTAGATCTGTTTCTGTGGAAGACGCAATGGAAACCAGGCAGAGATACAATCCAAAAGCACTTTGTTGGGTTTTTGAGCATGACATAGTCCACTGACAGTACAATGATAGAAGCTCTCCTTGAACAGTCAAAAGAAATGGAAATTTCATTCAGTGATTTGAGTGGTCAAGGCTATGGTAGTGGGACAATTATGAAAGGCAAACAGTGGAGACAATCTGGGGCAAGAGAGCATTTTTTTTGGTCCTGAACAATGCACTTTCTTTTAATCTTGTATTCAACAATGGTGCAAGTTATTGCATTGAAGCTGCAGTACTTTTTTATATGGATCAAAGCATTTGGGGGGGTTTTCCACAGTCTCACAGCAACTTTAAGCTGTTATGCACCAACATGTGATTAACCTATTTCCAAAACCTTTAAGTGAAATAACAAGGGAGAGCCAAATTGATGGGATCCATGTATTTTGGTGCCAACTTTAAGAAGTCTATGGTACTTAAGTATCCATTGCCAAGAGTTTAAACCTAAAGGGACCCACAGCAGCCAAAACTCAAAGCAATACTGTATTGTTGGCTCACAAAATCTGTGATTTGAAGTGTTTGCACAGTGTGGTACTTCAGTATGATATGCCTTATGAAGGCAGCACCACCCATAAAATGCTTTAAGACAGCAATGTAGATTCTGATCAAACTATGGCTTGAAGGATTTCCTTGTAAACTACCACTGTGATAAAGGACTCACATGCATCCTTACTGATGCTAAGAAACTGGTCAATGAGCTGGAAATTGAAGCTTTCCACAAGAAAAATCAAACAGAGTATGAACCCAAAAAAGCAAACATTTGATTATGAGGCCAGAGATGAACCACTAACTAATCTAGGAAACAACTCTAAAGCCATTTTTCTTATGTTATGTTTGAGATACTGTCATTGGTCACTTGAAGAGCACCACAAGCTGCTTGCCAATGTGCGGGAGAGGGTTGCTATTATTTCTCTAAAACATCAAAGGTGCCCTGCAAAGGATTGCAACAGCCATGCTTTGTTTTAAGAAGGGCATTAGACGATGATCAGGTTGGTGCAGCAACATCCTTTCACATTAATGCCCTGGATCTTTGCAGTGGATTTCAAGGTCTTGGCAGACAGCTGAAACCTAGAATAAGCCCAAAAGTCACATTGGAGTTTCTATGCAAAAATAAGCTTTTGTCCTCATTTCCAAAGATATCTATTGCCATCAAGATTCTGGGATCATTGGCTGTGTCTGTCTGAAGTGGAGAGCAGCTTTCAGAAACGTAGAAAGATATACCTGCATTCTGTGATGGCTCGGTCTTGCCTCGTGTGCCTTGCTTTAATTTCAATTGAAAGCCAAACTTCAGGGAGTAGTTTCCCGTGCAGACATCCCTTTACATATCTTTGTGTTCTCCCAATTCTGGACCAGCATGTTTAACCTCTAGCTTATTTTAGTATAATCTAAGAACTACTCTAAACATATGTCTGCGTGGCAAAATGAAGGTTGATCACAACATGTGGTAATATATCTAGCTAGCACGGGTAAGCATAGCAGTAAAGACCCAGCAACATGTGCTTTAGCACAAGTTAGCAGCCACAGGGTCCCTGAAGAGCTTATAACCTGGTACTAGCACATATTTAAAGTCTATGCTGCTGCATCCTCACTGCTATGTTACTCATGCTAGGTAAGTACAAGCTATGGTCAGGTCATGCCTTCATTTTTCTGTGTAGGCATCCTATAAACTGCTTCACTGACTAGTGGTCACCAAATGCCCTGCTCCACATGCCCAACTGTGTCCAACTGTGGCTGTAGGTGATGAAGATGAAGTGCCAAAAGGCCATTTAAGAATTCCTACATAAGGGAAAGTCTGGAAGAGAAGAAGGGGTATCTGAACCAAACGAGCTGGACAGGTGGGGAAGGCAGAAGAATCCGAGAGAAAACTAAAGAAATGAGCAGGGAAGAGAGACTAGTTAAGCAAGAGGAGAAGACAGATGGGAGGAATGGCAAGCTGACTTGTCCGTGGTCTGGGTGGGCAAATTTGCTATTAGGCAAAGCTTGATTCGAATCTCACACTTCTGTATATCCAGTTAGTCCAGTGAGGGAAGCCTAGTTCAACCACTACAAAAATCCTAGTGCGACCTAGAGTTGAGTGAGCTGAGAAATGAATTTGCAGCACTGCTACACAAACCAAGCTCAAAACTCCCATGGACATGAATGGAAGCAGTGCGGGGGGGGGGGCATGTACAGAACTAGCCCGTGAGAACTGCACCGTACTTCAATTACTAGACCCAGAAAAGGACATCAGGGCTCCTCTAGCTACTATTCCCAGGCCTGCCACTAGCTTGCATGACGACCCTGGGCAAGTCATCAAAGGCCTCATGCTAGATTAAAGAATGACTCCAGCTCCCACTGGCAGAGCTACAAGTTGTGATGCTCACTTCCTCTGCCAATAGGCCATGAGTATTTTTTCCTGCCTCTGTTTACATTATCTGCCCTCCCTTCCCCCCCTTCTCCCTCCCCATCCCAGCCCCTGGCTCCAATACCTACCTCATGGGAAAGTCAAGAGGCTTTAAGAAATGGCACATCAAATTTGACAATGGATATATCTGTTTTTAAGACCCTCTGAAATCCCCTGGATGAGTTGATTTGGACCCATTTGCTTTGTCTGGCCTCTGCAGAGTAATAGGAGAGATGAAAGTACCAAATCATAGAACTGCATTGTTGGGAAGGGCTTCATGAGCCAGCTAATCCAACCACCTGCACAAGCGTAGGATTCACTTTCAATTAACTGGAATGCCAAGACATCTTTATTTAAACTTAGAGCTGCTGCTTGGGAGAAGGAATGAGTTGGCTGGAATGTGGATTTCTTTTGCAACATTAAATAATTGACAGTGCTGACAGTGTGGGGCACCCTGCATTGTGCTAAAATCAACAGAAATAATTGAGAGTTTGTATGCACAAGAGTTTTACCAAATCTGTGACCGTTGGAAATATCTTTGTGGATTAGCTTTCTGCCAGTGGAGCAGATGTTTTAAATAAATAACCATTTCCCAGCAGTGTTTCCACCCAAATATTGCAACACTGAGGACCTTCGCATGAAGCTGAATCAAAATATACAAAACAAGAAACTAATCTTGGTTATTTGTGATTGCCCAACCAAACTGAAGTGTGAGAAATAAATAGCAGGAATACACTGCAGAGTAATGTTTTCAGTACACTAAGGTGGCAGTAATGCTATAAAGGTGTTTGTATAAAATATATCTAATTGATGCCCCTTTAGGACTGTTTCTATCTGCAGATTAAAGCTGCTCATGGAGAAGTAATTATTACTATTGGGACTCTGAGGTCAGTGTTTGGGGAGTCCAGGATGCTATATTAGCCGGAAGAAACAATTAGCATCTTAACAGAAAGACAAGGTCAGAGGTTTAAAGAATTAATGAAAAGGCAATAAGTGATCAAAGAGACTCCAGAATGCAGGCACCCAGGGCTCCAGGGTGGGATGGGCTCAAGCCTGTCTTTGGTTCCTGTTTACATGATGTACCTTCTTGCTCCATGGTCCCTGATAGCCATCCTGAATAGCAGTCTATGCATGCACTGATAACACCACATTTATGAGTTCCAACCCATCACGGGGAGCTCCACAGCTACTGCACATCTGGGAGCCTGCTGCAAAACAGGCCCTCAACAAACTGAGGCTTGAAATCAGGCAACATGCCTCCCAGACTAGAGTTTCTGCAGAGCCCCTGCACATCAGCCTAGCAGGTACGGCCACACATCTCGTACGCAAAACACAGTGAATGATATTCATGGGAACGCAGGCAAGGCCATGAGGGAGCTTTTGTCTGGGAGAGCAGAAAAGTAGCATCAGCTCTAATGAGACTAAATGACAGCCTCCTGCTTTGCTACATTCCCTTTTAGGCATGTCCCTTAATTTGATGCAGCTCTTGTTTGTTTGTTTGTTTGTTTCCTATTTAGTTTCAAGCTACTGTACCTCCCGTTTCTGTTCAGTTCATTGCCTTTCCGCAGCTCAGATATGCGTCAGTAGTGCATCTTGCCCAGACAGTTCCCTAAGCTACTTCCACCAACTCCCTGTACTTACCCTCTAGGCCCAGAACTGAGAATTACTAATCCTTGATCATAAGAGGTGGATTTGTAAGAGGCTCTGATCTCTGCTTGTTCGTCTGCATGTTGCATGCGAAGGGCAGAATTCTCCTTTCAGATGTACGTAGCAATTCTCACCTCTGTTGCCTATTTTTGATCCCTGCCCAGAGCTCTGGGAATCAAGATTTACTGCACAGATTTGAGGGGGGGATATCCCTGTGGGAGATTGAGGCCCCAAACCTGCCAAGATTAAAGTGTGTGCTTAATTTTATGCATGGTAGCATGTCAGAAGGGCCCAGAGTGTATATAAAGTTGAGCATGTGCGTGTGTCTTTGCACCATCAGGTCCTTATGTTCCTACAATTCACGTGGCTCCCCAGAGTGACACACATCAGTCCTTTACTATTCACCCTCACTCTTTTGCCTTTGTTGGTGTCCTCCGTGTGCTCTTCTAGCAAATACTTGGATGCATAAAATCTCCGTCTTACAAAAAAAATTTAAACAATTTCTTCAACCTCTTTTCTATCCTAAAAGGGTCAGTTACTGCACTATGGATACCCATACAGTCTGCTTGATAATGACATGTACATAAAATCTCATATGTCTCTGTGATGTTATACTGTTGCACAAATAAACTTTGCTTTTGTGTATTCATTTTAGAGAGGTACATTGTTATCACTTTAGTGACTGGTTATTGGTCCTGTAAAGTGAAACCAATAATATTTTGATTTCTTTCCAGAATCAGCCTCTGGGTCTAGTTATTTCATCAGCAGTGTGTGCTCGAGTGCAGTTAGTATTTATTATAGTGCAAAAGCATCACAGTCAGGGACCAGGAGTCCTTTGTGCCAGGTGCTGCCCATAATTCATTTCAGTTGCCTGAATATTCTGTCTGCAACACAGAAGTGACTTCATTTGACTTCCCTGCACTAGCAGCAACTGATTATAGCCAGGGTAGCCAATCTCAAAGGCAAGTACATTCTCAGACCCCAAGAAATGTCCTTTATATTCACTGCACGTCATAATTTAAAACATCCAGAGCTGTATCAGTTACTATTAAGGATATGGTTGTATGCATTAGGTTGTATGTATAAGGTTGTTGTATGCATTAGTTTGGGAGAGTGACAAGGAGTGATGGGGAGCAGAAGGTATACTATCTTATCAGTTCAGCTTACAGATACTTTTTTTCCCTTTCATTTCAGTCTTCAGTCCCTTGTGACCCTGTTTACGGGGAAGGTATGAACAGCTGATGTAGAGCTGCACAGAAAAGCCACTTGCACAACACATTTTTGATCCTATAAAATGTACCTATTTTACTGTAGGTCCTTGAGGCTCACATCTCTAAGCATCAGCTCCCAACACTTTATCTATTGCCTAAGGACTAGATCCAAAAAAAGGCTTAGGCACCTAGAAGTGGCTGGGCAGGAGTTTTGTGGGCTGCAATTCAGACATCCCTCTTTCACCCTAAGTGCAGCTTGGGCATCTGAGAGGCCCAAGTTCTCTGGTGAAAATTTACTTAGGGCCCCAAGGTTTAGCTTCTGCACATGCTTAGAACTTATCACCATGCTGTTTGTGCCAAACATTCAGGAGTTGAAACCCTGCATAACTGTCCAGTGGGACCTGGTGGGGTAGATATGCTCGGAGCACACCGAACCTGACACCATTGCACCCATGACCACTCATCCTAGAACATGGCCTGAGGTGGTACCTATGCTGACCCTCTGCATGATCACCTTAGGACTCACTTGCTCACAAAATGGAAGACCTGAGTTCTGGTCCCTGTTCTCAAAGCTGTTTATGCCTCTTACCCGGTGACTGCTGCATGCAAAGTGCTGTGCACACCTAGGAGCAGGGACTGGCACTCAGGCCCCACTCTGGCCCAAGAGGGTTGTAATGGGCACCTCGCTGGGCTACTGAACGGTGCTCCCTCTTGTTCTCTCTTTGGCTCCTTACTCTTCCACTTGTTTCATAGATTTCATCGACATTAGGGCTGGAAGGGACCTCGGAAGATCATCGAGTCCAGCCCCTGTTTCATGGAAGTCCATTTTGGCTTAGCCCGTTGCTTGGTGGTTAGGGCATTATCCTGAGAGAGGTGGACTTGAACTCCTTCAGACTATTCAGGGCCTAAAATCCAGGTGCCTCACTTCCAGGTAGAGTGCCCTAAGCAACAGATCATTAGGCAAAAGGAGGTGCCCTCACCACTGGCCATCCTTGAAAAGAAGGAAGCCAGCGAGTTGCCCATACCTGAAAGGATAAAGTCGGTGCCTACATTTAGGGGCAGGTTTCAAACTGCCAAGTCTAGACTCAGTCATTGCTGAAGTCCAGGAGAGATGAGAGACTCCAGATACATCCCTCTTCTCCAGGATATCTTATCAATGGACTGCTTTAGGTATTTCTCTTCTCAACGCTCTGGGGCTGTAAAACCCAATCCGAGGCATCTAAAGCTCTCTATTTAAAATGTAAGTAGCTTAGGTGCCTAACCTGGGTCTGTGGATTCACTCTCCCAGAACAAGGCATGTGAATGTTAGGCATAGTGATCCTGAGCCTGCCTGTGCCTAAATTCTTATTTGGATTTGGCCCTAATGTCACATATGAAGGCACCCAGAACATCCTGGAAACAGGAAAGGGAGAGAGATCGTAGCACGCCACAGTGAAGGAGCAGAGTAGGTGTGAGTGCTGCAATGCAGGGGTGTGAATGAGTGCAGGAGGGAAGAGGCTGGGGGGTAGACTATATACTAAATATAGGTCTACTGTATCTACCCCCTCTCTCTAACCTACCGCACCTCCCTGACTTAGTCAGCAGTGCCTTGGCATTACAGTGCACAAAGTTTAGACAATGAGCTCCTTCATTTTTTTTCAGTGTAGGTCCAGGAACTCATTCAAGAACTGGGTTAGAGGGGCTCAGCTCCAAACCAGGGGCTTGGATTTTTGGCAGGCTTTGCTCCAGGGTTTGAAGACATTTGGATCTGATTTCCCAGGCCTAGCCCAGGAGCTGCCTCCCTACACTAATCTCTTTCAGAAGTGATTAAGTGAGGTAAGGACAGAGCAGACAATTTCATGTATTTCCTGATTTTTATGGCTTTAACCATTTTTTGTCAGGTTATTTCAGCATGTTCCTTTGGGGTTCTGTTTTCTTTAAAGTTAGGGTCATACCAAAGCCACTGCTGTGTATACAGGTCTGCATTTGCTGTGGCATGTGGCAGCCTTGCTACACTACGTCAGGGCCTATTTATACTGCTACCTTGCCATGCCAGGTGATGCCATGCTGAAACACGCCACGCATTCATGTTCATGGGACCTTGGATTTCATTTTCAAAGCCCTTTCCAGCTTGCCTACTGTCCCAGCAGGTTGATTTATGCCTCCAACCAGTGCAGGGTGCCAGTCCCCATCACCCACTTGTCCCATCTTTCCCATCACTTCCCACAAACACCTGCAAAGCTTCCTCAGTATCCTCCTTCAAATCTCTGTTGTCTTGATGCCTAGAAAAAAACTTCATGGCACTTAGGTTGCCCATGTGCTATGATCACTGCCTCTTGCACTGACTTGTGCAACACTTTTCCTTGTGCTCCACCTGTTTCTTATAGATCAAATCGTAAAGTCACTGGGCAGAGATCGCCCCTTTGTTATCTGTACAGCACTGAGCATCATGGACCCCTGGTTCAGGAACAGAACTTGTAGGGCCTGTTTATACTGCTAGCTTGCCATGCCAGGTGATGCCAGGCTGAAACGTGCCATTCTGATCTGCATAATGAGCTGGAACCAGATTAGCTGTCTTAGTGCAGCACTGAGGCAGGCTAACTAGCCCTGCTGAGATACAGCCATAATTAGCAAGGCACTGCACAAACACATGAGAGGAAGCATGTGTGAAGCAGCGTGGCCCATCTTATCCCATTGCCACCTGGAACACCAAGGTAGCTGAGCAGCCATACCCCTGCATGCTCCAGTACCGCATGTGACAAACCATTAGTAAACAGAATGAATGTTGGGTTAAGGACAGGAGTGGGATGCTGTTCATTCAGAATAATCCTTTTAGCACCAGAGACAGGCCTGAGCCAACGCTCTGATTAGATCCAAATGTTGTTCCTCTGGCTCACTTCCGCTCACTCCCATGGATTACAGCAGAAGGAGGAGGTATTTGTTTTAACTGCTAAGAGTCCCACTGAAGGAGGTCTAGGTGGAGCTCTAAGTGTATAGCAAATCAAGGCCCTGATCCAAAGTCCTTGAAAGTTACAGGAGTCGTACATTGACTTCAATTGTCTTTGGATCACATTTGGAACTTCATACTACTTTTATTAAAACCTCTGATTTCTATTATTGAATCCTGTGCACAAGCAGCTCAGTATTCTCCTCTCAGATATACATCACAGCACTCTCCCTTGTCTAGTTACTGAAAGGCCACCATCAGTACAGTATCTAAGTGTTCCCCAGCTGCAAACCCCTGCTCCAGTATGTGATGTTGGCAACATCCCTAAACTCAGGAATTGGGCCTACTTTCACATCATGGACACAATCTATGCTTGTATCATAAAAGCACCCCTCAGCTCACTGGGGGAATGAACTGAACATCAAGAACTGCCAGGCCAGGCCTGATTTTTCACTTGTCGAGTTCTGTATAGAGTAAGAGACTGGGAAGTGCTTTCACAGCACCTGTATTCACTATACTTGCCTCTTGCTAGTGCCATCAGGGCAGTTTTCTGTAGCACTAAACCCATTAAAGTTAATGAGAATTTTGCTCAGGACTTCAGCTAAGCCAAGGCTCTCCTCTAAATTTTACGCGCATGGGATTTTTTTGTTTGTTTGTTTTTGGGGGGTTTTATTATCAGATACAAAGTTCTTATTGAAACAGTCATTGCAAAACCCTTATTTATTCCAATGGGACTTCACTACTTACTGAAAACCTATAAAATTCCGCAAATAACATTGTTACTTAAGCAACAGCAAAGCTACCTTGGAGCACTGGCATCTTAAAAGTAGTTTGCGGGACCAAAAGTCATTTTATTCAAGGAAAATGAAAGCTCTGTGCAACAGGTCTTGTACCAGCCTAACAAGAAAAGTAGGATTCAAACTGGCAATGAGATGATGCAACAACAACTAGGAAAATAAAGTACAATCTGTAACTGCCAGGGACTCAGTGTGTTGCTGCTACCCAGAAATAGAAGGTGTGTGGGAAACGTATCCTTGAACAGGCGCCAATGCTCACTGAAATGGGCGCTGGCCCAAGTTTATTTTAATTAAAAATAAAACTAAGGGAGCCATGAGGTGAACCTTACATTTGCAGTAAGCACTTAGATGCCTAAGTAAGGCCTTTGACATGGGCCCTTGCACTAGTGAACACTTACAAGTTGTAGTAGCAATTTGAACCTTTATGTGCATTGGCGAGCACTTGTTGTAGTCATCATGCCCATGGGGCAACTGTGTGTGTAAATGCTCACCATCCTGGGTTCTTACAGAATCACAGTCTGGCCATAAATGATCCAGTTAATGAGCTGATGCTTTATGCTACCTGAAAGACTTTAGTTCTTATTTGAATATAGTTCTTATTTGAATGTTAGGATCATCAGAGAGAAGGACAGGAAGGGACCTCACAAGGTCATCTAGTCCAGGCCCCTGCTCAAGACAGGATCATCCCTGATTAAACAGGTCCAAAAGTCAACAGAAAAAATTAGCCAAAGCCCTGAAATGTCATTCTGCATGCCAGTCTCAAAATGGAGAGTGCTGGATAAATATCGGAATAATCTGTGATTGATTAAAAAAAGAAAAACACTATTTTTTAATAAATAACCTTCCACCTGGGCTGACCTCCTTACCAACTGTTAGCACAACAGCCCTGGAACAATCATTTCTTGCATGAGGTGATCTTTAAATATAATTGGCCCCTCAAGGGGCTGCAATCATGTATCAACATGGTACCTTCCTCCTTCCTTCTTGAATCCATTTCTTTGTTTATTGATTGAGGCTGTTCCCGCTCCCTGTCTGGCAAGCTCCTCCTAGATGCCCATGTAGGGTTGCACTCTTAAATGACTGTAAAAAAAAAAAAAGTACATGCTCCAATGTTTATTATTCCCATACCAAATGTGTTCAGCTAGCAAATTAAAGGATGTCTCTTAATGGGATACCCAGCCTGTCCTAACAGGCAATCTGAGGGTCTTTCCTTAAAAGTCCTTCCATACCAATAATAAATGTCCAGAAAGCAAAATTAGGCCATCATGGACATCCATACAACATGGAGGCCTTGGGCAAGTTAGCACACATATAGCAAATTGAAACATAGCAATCAGCTACCATACTACCACAGGAGCCAGAGACAGCTCCTCCCTTCAGTTCTGGCTCTGCAGAGCGAAAGGGAGGGAAATGCAGTTAAAAAAAGGGGGGAGCATGATTAAAGTGAGCAGAAATAAAGTAGATCACACACCAGGCAGTGAAGGAGAAGCTGCTATTTTTCCAACTCACATTTCTAAATGTCCTTGAAACTAAAGTCATAGTTCCTGGCATTTAAAGGAAAGAATGGCAGCTAAACAGACAATGTGGATATTTCTGTTTAAAAAAAAAAAAAGTCTTATTTATCCAACCAAAATGAAATTTTTGTGGAGAAAAAAAAATCGTTTTGGTCAAGATACCTTTTTCTTTTCTTTTTTTAAAGAAAATATATCTTTCCCCCAAAGATGTGGCATTTCATTGAGTAGAAAACACTGCGTCCTTCGTCTTAACTTCCTGTTCCACATTTTTCCATCAAAAAGTTAAAACAAGAAAGGCTATCTTTCTCTATCATTTTTTTTGTTTTGTTTTTCCTGAAAATATAAAATTAATTTTAAGTGAAACTTCTGCATTTCTGTTTGTAAAATAGGCTTGCTTCCCTTTATCAGCAGATTATATAATCTTATGGATTATACTGTGTGAGCAAAGGTTCGGATCCTACTCCAGGTGAAGATTTTTCCTGAAGTACAGTAATAGGGGGAAGACAACAGGGCCAAAAATTGTTAGAATGCTGTTAATGTTTGAAGAGGTTCCCTTTGTTCACATCTCTGATTTGATTTCACAGTTAAACATCTGTTCCCACAAAAGCACAGCTGGGGAGGATTTGCAAGAAAAGTGTCCACTCCAGACCAGATGTGCAATGTAGTTATTGGTTGCTAAAATCAGTGCAAAAGATAAATAACATGAGAAATGTTTCGTAAGGCAGTTGTGCGCATAGTTTGTATTTTCTAAGTCACGATTCTTTCACTAGCATTATTTGCTTCTATGAAAATAGAGCCTTTCTAGAAAAGAGGCTGGCTACTGCTTTTCTGTTCTGATTGCTGCTTAGGTGTTTTTTATTTATGTCAAACATGAAGAATGCATTGTTCAGTGTAATTCTGTTGCTCTGTTAATATAGAAAGCTATTTTTCCGTGTTTCTAATTTGGCGGGGGGAGGCAATTGATGTGGCATCATTATTTGAGTTTACTTTTGCAAATGGCTACATTACCCTTTGTAGTTACATTTTGTATTTGTAGTTAAAAAAGGATAAGTATGGAAAATAAAATGCTTTAAGCTATTTGAAACCTTGTGTGTCTGTTAAAGGAATTAGTAATAAATAAAACAGGGCAAGTGTTGCGTTTCTCATTTTTCTGCTCAATAATGGCAAATTGTTGAATTTGATGGTGTAGGTTACCATTCTGTCTTCACTGCTGCCAGGTACACTAATTTATCTCTATTGTGTCATTATTTGAGGAAATGCCCATGAAATAACAGCAGGAAAAGAACATTTATAAATTGGTGCTCAGATGCATGGGAGACTATTGAATAGTATAGTATAGAATAGCACTGAGCACACCATAGAGGTAAAATGGTTTAGTGGGCTAAGCCTTGCTAGGAATCAGCCCCCTTAGAATCACTGATCATAGAAAATGAGGGAAGGGACCTCAGGAGGTCACATCTAGTCCAAACCCCTGCTCAAAGCAGGACCAGCCCCAACTAGATCATCCCAGCCAAAATTTTGTCTAGCTGGGTTTTGAAAACGTCCAAGGAAGGAGTTTCCACCCTCTCTCTGATATCTTGGTC